AAAGGCCAACCTAGAATTCTATATTGAACAAAATTTTTCTTTAAAACTGAAAGACAAACAGAACTTTCTCACACAAGAAAACATTCAAAAAACTTGTCATCAGTACACCTGTCCCACAGAAAATGTTAAAAGTTCTTCAGAGAGGGAATGACAAAGGTCAAAAACTTAGGTTTATGCAAAGAAAGAAGAAACAGTCAAGCAGGAAAATTAGACAAAATCAAAATGAAGTAGTTTTCTTATTCTTAGTTTATCTAATAAGTTCATTCAAGATAATAGCAACAATTTAGTAATTATAGTTTTTGAATAAGTGATGTGAACGAGCACAATGTTATAAGAAATGGAAGGGGAGAAGCAGGAATATGTTGTCATAAGTCACCTGCACTATCCATGCAGTGGTTAGTATATTGAAAGTAGCCTTAGAATAGTTTTGTGTGTTTTAACCTAGGGTGACATGATTTGGCAACATCCCCACCCCAATCTCTTCTTGAATTGTAGTTCTCATTATCCCTCTGTGTCATGGGAGGGACCCAATGGGAGGAAATTGAATCATAGGGGCAGTTACACCATGCTGCTGTTCTTATAATAGTGAGTGAATTCTCACAAGAGCTGATGGTTTTTTAAGAGGCTTTTCCGTTTTGCTCTCATTCTTCTCCTTCCTGCCATCATGTCAAGAAGGATGTGTTTGCTTTCTTTTCCACCATGATTATAAGTTCTCTGAGGCCTCCCCAGCAATCCAGAACTGTGAGTCGATTAAACCTCTTTACTTTATAAATTACCCAGTTTCAGGCACTTCTTCATAGCAACATGAGAACAGACTAATACAGTAAATTAATACTGCATAGTGGGGTGCTGCTTTAAAGATACCCAAAAATATGAAAGTAAATTTGAAATTGGATAACAGGCAGAGCTGGAAAAATTTGGAGGGCTCAGAAAACGTCAGGAAGATAGGGGAATGTCTGGAACTTCCTAGAGACTTGGAGGGCTCAGAAGACAGGATGATTTGGGAAAGTTTGGAACCTTCTAGACACTTGTTGAATGGCTTTTACCAAAATGCTGATAGTGATATGGATAATGAAGTCCATGCTGAACTGGTCTGAAATAAAGATGGGGAACTTCTTGGGAACTGGAAAATTGACTCTTGCTATGTTTTAGCAGAAACACTGGTGTCATTTTGCCCCTGTCCTTGAGATCGATGGAACTTTGAACTTGAGAGGGATGATTTAGGGTATCTGGCAGAAGAACTTTTTAAGTGGCAAAGCATTCAAGAGGAGGCAGAGCATAAAAGTTTAGAAAATTTGCAACCTGATGATAAAATAGAAAAGAAAAACAGATTTTCTAGGAAGAATTCAAGCCAGCTGCAGAAATTTGCCTAAGTAATGAGGAACCAAATGTTAATCACCAAAACAATGGGGAAAATGTCTCCAGGGCATGTCAGAGAACTTTTCAGCAGCCCCTCCCATCACAGGCACAGAGGCTTTTGAGGAAAAAATGGTTTTCTGGGCATGACCCATGGCTCCCTTGCTGTGTGCAGCTGAGGGACATGGTTTGCTGCATCCCAGTCACTCCAGTAATGACTAAAAGGGGCCAAGGTACAGCTTGGGCCATTGTTTCAGAGGGTGCAAGCCCCAGACCTTGACAGTTTCCATATGGTGTTGAGCCTGTGGCTGTACTGAAGGCAAGAATTGAGTTTTGAGAACTTCAGCCTAAATTTCAGAGGCTATATGGAAATGCCAGGAAGTCCAGGCCAAAGTTTGTTTCAAGGTTGGAGCTCTCATGGAGAACCTCTGCCAGGGCAATGAAAAAGGGAAAGGTGGGGTCACAAGTCCCATATAGAGTCTCACTGGGGCACTGACTAGTGGAGCCATGAGAAGAGAGCCATAGTCCTCCAAACCCCAGAATGGTAGATCCACCAACAGCTTGCACTGTGCACCTGGAAAAGCTGCCATTACTCAACATCAGCTGGGAGGGGTAGCTGTACTCTGCAAAGGCACAGGAGTAGAACTGCTCAAGGCTGTGGGAGCCCACCCCTTGCATTAGCATGACCTGGATGTGAGACATGGAGTCAAAGGAGATTAATTTGGAGCTTTAAGATTTAACTACTGCCTCATTGGATTTAGGACTTGTATGGGACCTGTAGCCTCTTTGTTATGACCATCTCCCATTTGGAATGGGTGTATTTACCCAATGCCTGTATCCTCATTGTATCTAGAAAGTAATTAACTTGCTTTTGATTTTACAGACTCATAGGCAGAAGAGACTTGTCCCTAAAAAAGATTGGAGATCTCTTTTGCTGTTTTTGATTTTTCTTCAATACTGTCTCTTCTGTTTTGATGTTTAAGTGATTAGCTCATTAAAAGGCAAGAACTTTAGAAGTTAACACATTACTAACTTCATAGAAACCACTTTTTTAACAGTCAAAGAAATGGGGCAGCCAGCTGAAGGTTATTTAATTTGAAGATAAAATGATCAGTTTGGACAGAAGGGTAAAAAATTGAGGCAATGTTGAGCTTTACTCAGCACTGTATTGAAGGCAGACAGTGTTCATAGGGAGCACCTGGGACAAAAGTCAAAGAGAAGCAAAGTCAAAGAGAATGAAGCAGATAACAGAAAATAAAGTGCTGAAAACTGAGGATAACATGGACTTTGTTTGCTCCATAGAGAATTAGATGTTCAGTCTCTGGCTCTGACAGATATGAGCTATGACACATAAAGTAAATATCTTATGAACTTTTGTCCATGGCTTCAGCATGTAGACAATAATCGAAATGAATTAGATGCTGCCTAAAGTGCTTCCTTGATGTAAAGTCTTATATTTCTAGCACTAATTCACAGAAAGACCATGGACTATTTTCTGTTGCTTCTATAAAAATTCAAGTTTTAGACATTTTTGCAGAGTCATTCTGCCAACCTCAGTCTACCCTCTGGACCTGTCTCATATACAAAACACTTTCACCCCATCACAATGCTTCCACAGGTCTGATTCTATTATACATCAACTGAAAGTACTAAGTCTCACTTAAATCTCGTAAGCTCTAAAGTCTCAAATCTCATTATGTACAAAATTCAAAACAGTTATGAGTGAGTCTTTGGGTGTAATCCTTCCTGGGTGACAATTTTTCTTTACTTGTACAACTATAAAATTAGGAAACTAGTTATCTCCTTCAAAATGCAATGATGTGACAATCATCAGATTATAATTATAGACATAATGACAAAAGAGGAGAAATTAAAAGAAAAAAGTCACCTCTCTCAAACAATTTTTAAATACAACCAAACAAACTTTAATAGGTTACAAGGCCTCAGAGTAATTCTCCTTGGTTCCTGGTTCTAGTTTCTGGGCTTAAAGCTCTGTTCTTTTGGTCATGCTTCTTTCATGGGTGAAGGAATGCATATTTGTAGCTGAATGGTTTTATTGGCCTATGTTACCAGCCTGCAGAATTTTGAGGATCTAACATCCTCCTTTCACCTAATGCTATTTTCGGCTTTTTCAGTTCATGCTGGCAGTACTTCTGCTAATATTAAATTCTCAAGCACCTTGTGGGTCTCTCATGTATTTCACAGGATTCACTTAATTAGATAAGAGGTTTGTTTACAAATCATTCCTAGAAAATTTTATCTGTAATTTTGGATTTTGCCCAAATGGCTGAAGGATAAATAGCCTTATACCTTCTGAGAGATATTTTCTGGTTTAATTTAGGGAATCTTTGAGTCATATCTTTGAACTCTTTATAAAGCCTTTTATGTGACTAAGTACTCTGCTCTTTGTAATGCTTCCATAACAGATTACCACAAATGCAGGAGCTTAAAATAGCACAAACTTATCCTATAGTCTTGTAGGTCAGAAGTCTGGTAGATGTCTCAGTGAACTAAAAGAAAGGAGTCCGCGGGCTGCATTCCTTTCTGGGGGCTTGTAGAATTCAGAGCCTAGCAGTTGTGCAACTCCTTTCTTCTGCTTTTAGAAACTCATATAATTAGTTTAGGTTCACTTGGATAACCCAGGATAACTGCCCTCTGTTAAAGTGAACTGATTGGCAACTGTCATGTCATGTCGTGTCATGTCATGTATTTACTGATTCTGAGTTTAGGACTTGAAGATCTTTGTTGTAGTGGTGGGAGCAGGCACAGAACTGCCTATCACACTAAGAGCAAAAATAACCCTACCTTTTAAAACATGCTCATACTCTTATCTAAAACCAATTGTAGCCAAACTCTTGGGGGAAACTTCCCCACTTACTCATACTTTCCACATAGGAGAGAACTCTGGCTTCCTCCCCACAGAGGGAACAGTAAACAGATATACTTCTGCCTACTTTTGTATTCTGGTACACATTCCTTGTCTTCTTCCTTGCAAAAGTAGAGTTTATTAATCTACTTGTCCAAATATAAAACCTTCATTTGGCCATTTTTGGAAGCTGGAGTTACCATGTCAAGGACAAGAACCAGACCTCATATTAATACTTTTTTTCTCTTCATGTCTGATGAATCAATGGAAAGGTCAGGAACTTTTCCTCCAGCAGAAGCTCTTTTTTCCATCTCATTTGTCTTTGACTGCTTGCATCCCTGAGTGGCCTCACTGGCTTTCTTTTCTATGAGTGAGTGGGTTAAGTCAGGTTTGACCTGCCTTCTACACCCTGATGAATATTCTAGGATTTTCTACAAAATAGTTTGACAAGAAAACTGAGATAGAGGATCCCCACTTGCCATTAATGTACCCATAAAAGCTCCATTTTTGTTGGTGTGAGTTTACATCAGTTTTTAACTTTAATAAAATTTCTTCGTACTAAAAGCCATTATATTGATTGTTAATGTTGTCATTAGTAAATGATACTATTGTGATATCGGTACATGTTAGTATACATTATATGGCAGCCAACTTTTGCTGCTTGGTTAGATTTACAAGAGCAGAAAAAATACTCCTAATTTTGAAATAAATCAGTGAAAAATTAATAATTTTATAATATAGAAGGTTTATAGTTTGATGGAGATATTTTATTTTGCAGCCCATCATCCAGTTCCCTGTCTTCTGAAAGGTGTACCCTGATTTTGCTCTGTGGAATCATCCTTGTCCTGTCTTTCAGCCCATGTCCTTCTGGTAAGGCTTCACATTTGCTCCTGAGTTGAGTGTGGGAATAAAGTCTGATCAATCTGAGCATCCCATCCTTTAGATTCATTGATATATGTAAGAATGGGCAATGAAATAAAATGAAATGCAATGAGATTTTTGTCAGAAGCGTTGGAGGACAAGTATGCTATCTTTCTTGATATCTGTTTTGAACCATATAAATATAAACTTGAAGCCCCTGTAGTCATCTTGCCATCAAAGTCAAATAAAAGAGAGAGGCTAGAGAAGGATCAGGTCATGATGACATAATCTGAACCCTTGAAAGTAGGCTTTCCTGTAGTTAACCCAACTCTCAAACTATTTAGTCATGTAAACTAATGTAGTTTAAGTCAGTGTAAATTGTGTAGTTTCTTGTTTAAGTTATTGTGAGTTGAGTTTCTGTCCTTGAATCAAAGGAGTCTAAACCCTTGACTACCTACAAGGTTTACATATTCTAAAATACAACGTAAACCTGCATATGGGGAGTTCTTAGTGATTTTCCAAAATACATCTATAGTATTCATTGCCATCTACACAGATTAGTAAGAGAAAATGTCAAAATATGGAAAGAAGGATATTTAAGTATGCTAGATTATTAAAATGTGAATTTTTTATGAAGTCTTAACTATAGTTTTCACACTCTTTAGCAATCCAGATAGAGTTCCCAATAGAGTAAGTGTTAGGGATTTTCTGGTTGTGTTTCAGAACCACAGAAATACTTTTTCTCTTAATATAGCATCTCAACAAATTTGCTTTGCTTATTAAAATACAGGTAAGTAACATAACAGGATCAAGATGAAGGAAGGGACTGCAAAGATTATATAATTTTATCTCGTTTTATAACTGAGGAATTAAGCATCAAAGAACAAAGTAACTTATATATAGCCATCTTCATTGCTAATGGCAAAGATACAACTAGAACTCAATTCTCTAGATTCCTGCTCCAAGGATGCTTCTCATTTCCTCAGCTTGTAACCAAGCATCCTGTTTTTAAAAGCTTTTTTTTTTTTTTTTACTTTCCTGCCTGTTCCTTATCTTGCTTTTAATAATAAGATAATAATGTTTGTTGTTCTGCTTTCCACCAGGCACTCCCTTGCACAGTGTTTGCCTTATCTATTTATATATTTACTTAGAAGTTCCAGAGACTAAATCTTGAAACAGTCTCTGTCACCTGGAAATTACTTCAAGGCTGCAGTTAATTTGCAACCTGAGTGTACTCAAGATGGTGCCAGCCCATTTACCAGATGGGATGACCATTCATCCCACTAGTCACTAGAACAGGCATGTAGACTGGCACTAGCTCATCACCCTTGTATGCCCATTATACCAAACTTCCCATTTTAAGTCCTCACCTTTGACCCAAAACCTGAAATATTTTCTTCAAGGCAAAAAGCCTTAACCATTTTTCCACTGCTAGCTCTGGAAATAAAGTCACCTTTATTTCACTGCACTTAGCCAATGTTACGGGCTTTGCAAGCACTGAGCAGCTAGGTCTGCACTGTTACAAGCCCTGATGACCTGACATTGCAGGCATGACCATTATTTACTTACCACCCAAAACATTCACATCAGAGAAGAAATAATAAACTAGACTAGAATCAAATTAGTACTTACTCATTTCTGTCTTAGCAAACTTTGCCAGGAACTTTAACCATAGAGGTACTTGTCCACTAAAGTCTCAACACAGAGCACACATTGACTTCAAAGCCCATGTATAATGAGGGTCACTCTGCCAGGAACTATGCCTCATGGATAAAAGATCCTGTCGGCAGTGAACTCTACCGAGAGTCACCCCATCACAGACACAGAACACTTTTGTAACACCCGCATACCTTATATTTTATGTTACAGATGACATTTTGAGCTTGCGCTTACAAAGAATCATTGTCAAGCTCAAAGGTCAGATGTACTGAATAAAACAGAGATCAGGAACTAGTGATTGAAGTTTATTCCCACTTTAGTCAATTCTGTGAGCTCTGTCAGAGCCTCTAACAGGTCCACCGGATGACCTCTTTAAACCACCAAAAGCTCATTTACACATTGTTTGTAATGAATCCTTTAGTTCAAGACATTTTTGAGATATTTCTTACTTTTGATTTTTTTTTTCTTTGAAAAGTTTCAGATTGTGTACTCTATCAAGCAATTTTAAAAGTCTAACTTTTTTTAAAAAATGAAATGCAGAAATTTTTCTGCTGACTTCATGGTCAGTGTTCTGCTTGAAAATGGCAGAAGGCTTTACAATAAAATGTGGATGTCCTGAATTTTTAGGAGATTAAAGAACAAAGCTTTTTACCCGAGCGCTTGACCCTATTTGTGAATTTCCTGATGACAAATAAAAACAGTCCATATAAAAGCAAGATGATTCTTAATCATAAATTCCCTTTTCCTCTTGCATAGCTCTCTAATGAACATGTTTGAACCTATCCTTTTAAAAATTTCATTAGCAATATGCATTGGCTGGGTGACTGAATCTGCTTAGTGTTGCTATAAAAAATACAAGAGACTGGGTAATTTATGAAAAATAGGGGCTCCGCCAAAATGGTCAAATAGAAACAGCTCCGGAGTGCATTTCCTAGCAAGAGAGACACAGAAGGCAAGTGATCTCCATGTTTTCAAATGAGGTACCCGGTTCATTTCAGTGGGAATGGTTGGACAGTGGGTATAACCCAAAGAGGGCAAACCAAGACAAGGCAGGGCACTGCCCCACCCGGGAAGTACATCTGACCAGAAGAGAGGGGGGCACTCCCTTTCTGGCATTATGGTTCAGATACTCTGCTTCAACCAACCCTCTTCAACCCACAGACCAGGAGATCTTCTCTGGGCTGAAAACTGCCTGTGAGTTACCTGCAAAGAGCTGAGAAGCAACCTCAGTTGGTGCTGCAAGTTGTTGGCACAGATCTAAATGACCATATTGGCTAATGCCAAGAGAGCCAGTGAAATGGAGCTACCTGCCCCCCAGAAAGAAGGGGAGCTGAAAGCAGGGAGTCAGGCGATACAGCTAGGTGGGTCACTTCCCCCACAAATCCCATCAAACTGAAGCCCTCTTGCTTGAGAGTCTTGCAGCCAGCACATCAGTTCAAGCTCAGCCTGGAACAATCACGCTTGGTGGGGTGAAGGGCAGCTGACATTGTAGAGTGGGTTCTAAACTTCCTGTGTAAACAAAAGAAACAGGAAACAAACACAGCAGCTCAACTGAGACCCTGGCAGCCCAGCAGCACCTCTGCAGGAAGACAAGGGACAGACAACCTCTTCCTCAAGTGGGCTATCTAAGAATGGGAAGAAATCAGCGCAAAAAGGATGAAACCATTGAAGACCAGAAGGCCTCTCCTCCTCCAACAGATCACAACTCCTCATCAGCAAGGGAACAAAACAGGATGGAGCACAAGTTTGACAAATTGACAGAAGCAGGCTTCAGAAGGCTTCAGACTTCTTTGAGCTAAAGGAACATATCGTTACCCAATGCAAATAACTTAAAAACCTTTAAAAAAGGTTAGACTAAATGCTAACTAGAATAAACAGCTTAGAGGAGAACACAAATGACTTGATAGAGCTGAAAAACACAGCACGAGAACTTCGCAAACCATACACAAGTTTCATTAGCCAAATTGATCAAGCAGAAGAAGATATCATAGATTGAAGATCAACTCAATGAAATAAAATGAGAAGGCAAGAAAAGAGAAAAAAGAGTGAAAAGAAATGAACAAAGCCTCCAAGAAGTGTGGGATTATGTAAAAGGATCTAATCTACGCTTGATTGGTGTACTGGAAGATGACAGGGAGAATGAATCCAATGCTGGAAAACACTCTTCAGGATATTATCCAGGAGAATTTCCTCAACCTAGGAAGGCAGGCCAACATTCAAATACAGGAAATACAGAGAACACCACAAAGATACTCCTCAAGAAAAGCAACCACAAGGCACATAGTCATCAGATTCACCAATGTTGAAATGAAGGAAAAAATGCTAATGGCAGCCAGAGAGAAAGGTCAGGCCACCCACAAAGGGAAGCCCATCAGACTCACAGCAGATCTCTTGGCAGAAATCATACAAACCAGAAGAGAGTGGGGACCAATATTCAACATCCTTAGAGAAAAGAACTTTCAACCCAGAATCTTCTACCCAGCCAAAGTAACCTTCATAAGTGAAGGAGAAATAAAATACAGACAAGAAATTACTAAGAGATTTTCTCGCCACAAGACAGGCTTTACAAGAGCTTCTGAATGAAGTGCTAAACATGGAAAGGAACAACCAGTACCAGCCACTGCAAAAATGTATCAAATCGTCAAGACCAACAATGCAATGAAGAAACCACATCAACTAATGGGCAACATAACCAACCAGTAACAAAATGGCAGGATCAGATTCACACATAACAATATTAACTTTAAATATAAATGGCCTAAATGCCCCAAGCAAAACAGACTGGCAAACAGAATAAAAAGTCAAGACCCATCACTGTGCAGTACTCAGGAGACCAATCGCATGTGCAAAGACACACATAGACTCAAAATAAAGAGATGGAGGAAGATTTCCCAAGAAAATGGAGAGAGAAAAAAGTAGGGGTTGCAACCCTAGTCTGATTAAGTGGACTTCAAGCCAACAAAGATCAAAAGAGAAAAAGAAGGGAATTACATAATGGTGAAAGGATCAATGCAACAAGAAGAGCTAACTGTCCTAAATATATATGCACCCAATACAGCAGCACCTAGATACATAAAGCAAGTTGTTAATTACCTACAAAGAGACTTAGACTCCCACACAATAATAGTGAGAGACTTTAACACTCATCTGTCAATATTAGACAGATCAATGAGACAGAAATCAACAAGGATATCTAGGACTTGAACGCAGACCTTGACCAAGTGAACCTGATAGACACCTACAGAACTCTGCACTACAAATCCACAGAATATAGTTTCATTGTAGCACCACATTGCAGTTACTCTAAAATTGACTACATAATTGGAAGTAAATAACTCCTCAGCAAATGC